GACAGTGTAAAGTTTTATATATTGACAATTTAACAAAATTAATTTAATAACTAAAATAAATAATATAATATTAAGTTTACAATAAAATAAACTTTTTAATTAAAATGTTAGATTATAAGACAGTGGAATAAAAATTGTTTTTACATATTTTTACCTTGATAAAATAAAATTATAAAATAATTAAATAGAGAATAAATTAACTAAAATAACTTATCTATTACAACTTTAACATATGAAGTTTTGCTTGTCACCGTTTTCTAAGTTACTTTTTTCCTACGTAAGTTAAACATAAGGAGAAAATTTAAAGACTCTTAATATCTACAAGTAAATACTGATCAGCATTTAAAATATACCAGGTAAAAATATTTTGTTTTCAATTTAAACTAATATATTTTCCATAAATTTTTATCACATTATCATTAATATATTTTTAAAGTTTTTAATCAATATTTTTAATGTACAGTGAAGAGTATAAAATAAAAATCTATATATAATATTTTTCATATTATATATAATATTAATAACATGAAATTTATATTTTAATAGAAAATAATTTTAATTTTGTTAAGTTTTGAATTGATTTTTAAATAAAAATTTTAATTAAAAAATATATATCACATTAAAAATGTAAATATAATAAAAAAATTTTAAAAAATTATTATTAGTAGTAATATAAAATTAAAGATACTTTATATAAATTTTATTTATGTTCCTTGAATTTAAATATCTATAAATAAAAAATAGACATATATTATATAAAATATATAAAAATATAATAACAAATTTTTTATTATAAATGTTTAAAATCAGTTTGAAAAGTTCATATTTTTTATTATGCAGTTATTAGAAAAGAAATTATAAACTTGTAGAAAAAAAGTGAATGCATGATAGGTGGGGCAGAAAAGAAGGGATGTGGATGAAACAGACATGTGATCTTAGCACTTGCCGCTCTTTACCAAAGTACTCACTTACGCGGCAAAAAGGGTGAAAAGTTAAAGTGAATGATGACGTGTCCCACTGTTTTTGGGGCCGCGCATGCTAGAATTCCTAAGTGTCTTAGTCTAACATGAGCCTTGTGTCCTCAGAGCCAAAGCGGTGAATCTTGGGAGCCCAACAATGATTCTCCGTTTTTCATTTTCCATCGACAGCTTCTGGAGACTGCGTACATTGCACCACGTTCACTCACCTGACATTACTTCTCACTCTCATGTTCGTTTTTTCTTTCTAAAATTAAATAAAAATTACTGTAAATCATTTGGCTTTTAAGCTTTTAAATAATTATTATAATAAATAAAAAAAAATCTCATATGACATGTGATACCAATAAACTCGTGTCGTGAGAATTCTCATCTCTGGATTTAACCTGAAATAAAAGAAAATTAAGGGAACAATTATGCAATTTATTATAAATTAAACTATATTTTGGATCCTTATGCTTACCTAAACTTAAACTTCACTTTTAATCTGAATATATATATATATATATATTTTAATTTATCTTTTCTCTTTTTACAATGATTAAAAATATGTTAACTGTCCAAAAACCATCACAATTAAAATAAAAGGACTAAATTGGAAATGAAAAAAATACTGAATAAAGAAAATCATATTTAAATATCTGAGATAAACACAATAATAAAAATATATAATTTAGTCTTTTCTATGTATATGTGTGTATTTAATTATATTTTTCACTGATTTTTATAATTATTCATTTTTTATTTATGAAGAATTGTTATCAAAATGACTTAAAAGAATTGTAGTCCTATTTTTCATTTGTATTGTTTTTTTTTTAATATTTTTAAAATTAATACAACATTATATAGGATTAAAAGTTATAAATAATATTTTTTATTAAAAATGATAACATTTATTAAAACTATAAAATATTATATTTTTTAATGAAAATTTTTTATTTAACTGCTGTTCACTTGAGGTGCATTGTTTATATCTCACCTTTTTTTGTTTTTATTCAATTTATTCTAAAATTATAATATAAACGATAAAATTTTATTTAGTGACAGTAGCATCTTGACAATCATGTTATTTATAATTATCTTACTATGTATTGTATTGCAAGGCGTTATAGAAGATAGGATATTTTAAGGAATTGAATTTTGCTTGCATAAAATTTTGAAAGGAAACAGCACAGTAAAAGACTAATACAGAGTATGAATGAGTGAAGTTGAGTCTCTAGTTTAATAAGTATGCCCGTGAATTCGATACAAGAGCCAAAAGTAATCAAAACAATAGGAAAAAAGAAATAATACAAAAGGAAAATTAAAAAAAGGGTAGAATATAAGACATAGGACAGAAAGCACATGCAAAATAAAAATGCTGAAAATAAATAATTAAAGAAGATAACAGTTTTAAAATGTAAGTCAAGGGTACATGTATATTTTGAATAAAATACTACAAAAATTAGTTCACTTTTTTATTTTCCTCATACTTAATAACCTCATGTAAAAAACAAATTAAAATTGAAAACATTAATTGAAGTAGCTATAATCATAAGTCGAGCTTGGACTACGAATATGTTAAAAATAAAATTTTAAAATATTAAATTTTTTTATAAGTTAAAATTAAGTTATACACATTTAAAAATTTAAATAACAAAACTTAAAAGAAACCTATATGCATAAATTTATTGTACTTTATAAATTAAATTTTATTAGTAGATATTACTTAGAAGTATAACATTTAATTGTTGTATAAAATAATATGTTTTACCTTCTTCACTTATAAATTCTTGAGCGAATTTATCTAAGCCAAATCATTGGTATAAGAAAATTTAAAATTTTTTGAATAAGTAAGATGCTCTTATAAATTTAAGAGAAAATAGTTACAGTTTTTTATATAAAAAAATTATGCATATAATATTATTCTATCCGAGTAATACATTTTTAACAAAAATAGTTTTCAAATTTTTTAAATTAATATATTTTTATTTTATTTTAACATAAAATAATACCACCACATGTTTCAATTGTTTTACTTATTTGTTCTTTATTTTTTATTATAGATATATATATTTACTTTAATCGTTCAAAATAAAAAAAAATATAAAGTAAACAACAATCTTGGCGTCTCTTGAGAATCTTGATCAATTGATTGAATTCAATAATTAATAATGAAGAGTTTTGTGTTGTGAATGAAATAGGAATAAATTTTTAATTTAAACAATAAGATAAAAAATAAATTAACTTACTGATTTGATTCTTAATTCAATCTATTATAAATTTTAAAATTATTTTTAATTATAACCTTAATTCCCATTTGATTCAAATTGTTTTGATTTTAAATAGAGCTTATCCGTAATTTACTGATACTCTCTTTGGCACGTTAAACTAATATTTTTTGCTCATTTTTAAAGATAAATTGAGTTGGACTAACATTCTTTTAATAAGTTGTGGTAAAATACTGAGAAATTGAGTCATTTTATTACTTTTAATATTTATTTTATTTTAATAGATTCTCCTTTTTCTCTCTCATGTTATCTTACCAGTTTAGGTTATTATTGATTTGCAAATTTGTTTAAAAGTATCCTCAGGAGGGTCTTACTAGGTCTATATTATTAATATCTTTTAACTTTCAAAAAGCAAAAACTTTCCATTTTTTAAGGTCACAAAAATAATAATGAATATTCAAAATAATCAATAATTCCATTGAAAATTGTATAAGAGTTAATTATTAGCTAACTTTGATTAGTATAGACAATACCTTAGAAAGAGGAAAAATTTCTCCTTAATTATATATATATATATATATATATATATATATATATTTATTTATTTAAAAGTTGGAATGTCGAGGGCCTGGACCACCATGAAATGTTTGCGCTAGCATGAACATAACGTACTTTAATTTTGCTTTAAGTTAACTCAAACATGAAATTTCATTTATTCGATATTATCTAATGTTCTTTATCTTATTGTAATATAAATATATAATTTAAAATAATTAATTTTCTTATTAAAAATACCTTTCTGATTAACACACTCGTAACTATACGATAAATATTTAATGACACAACGGAATGTCATTTCATCCTATTTAGGATCCCCATCTAATCAAATATGTTATGACTAAGACGCATGACCTTATCTATGTAAAAATTATAGGCGATGTTATTTTTAATAAAATTTAAAATTTATGAGTTTTAAATTTAAAGTTGAGTTTAAAAATAATAATTTTTAACACATTAAAGATATCATTTTTAATAAAACTATATCATTATTAATTAAACTTTAAAATTTAAGAATAACATTTTCTGTAAGTTATATACGTTTTAACTATGTGGCCCAAGGTTTAGATGACTAAAATTGCAAAGGTACCGATGCAGCAGACAACTGTGTTGAAGAATCTTAGACGCTGCCAACAGCACGGTTCGACATTATCCAAACAAGAAATGGGTGAAACATGAGCGAGTTTACTTACAGAATGTTTGGTTATATATATTTATTTTAATGTGTGTTCGTCTCAACATAACAAGAAGTAATGTTGAAAGAACGAAAGCATGTTTCTCGGTGAATAACTTTGGACTAGACATGTGCATAGTCCTATCCTATTCAAGGATTTTCACATTTTCTCCTCTTCTTCCTACAATATTAAGTAAAAGTAACCAAATAACACAATTTCACTTGAGGGTGAAAACTGAAAATAACCTCATGAGACGTGGTCAACAAGTTTACCCTGTCCATGCACACGTCTCGAATATTTTCAAAATGTCACAAAACACTTCTTGAAAACAACTTGCTTTTTAGCTCCAAACCCTGCCAATTTAAGGCTTTTAGATTTAAGAATCTAAAAATAATAAATTTCCATTCATTAAAAATGTAGCATTCTTTATTGGGTAAAATGTTAGTGAAAATAACATTACACAAACTAATTCATATTGGCGAACAACTTAGTGAAAAAAGGCGTATCATTTTGGCATAAATAAAGGCAAAATTTCCATCTCCTCCACACCGCAACCTATCTCAATCCATGCCTCGCACAGATTCTTCCACCTCCTAACTCAAAACTTGCCAAACCCTTCACCACACAAAGAAAACGGAGAAGCGTGAAAACTTGATCATTTCCCCCACTAGAAACAACACGGTATGGTTAATACAAGAATAATATTTGAGGACAGAGAGCAAAGACAAAGTTTGTAGTTATTAAGTACAAAGAGAGATCGAGAGAAAGATCACATGATTGAAAAGACAAACATGACGCCAATAATCAGCAAAATGTACTGTTCATCGTCTCAAACGGTGCTTGTGGTGAGGAGGAGGCCCAACGTGGTGAATGGAGGGGGTTTTGTAGTGATGGATTGTAGTGCCCAAAGGGTTGTGTTCAGGGTTGATGGGTGTGGGGTTCGTGGCACAAAGGGAGAGTTGATTCTAAGAGAAGAAGATGGAGACGCTATAATTCTCATGCGTCGAAAGGTACATTAATTAATATGTAGACATACATCAATTTTGTGAGTAGTTTTTAGTACATACTCGTGTTTTTAACTGTAACAGTTTCAATTGTGCAGGGAGGCATGGTTGAGGCCCTTAGCTTTTACAAGAAGTGGAAAGGTTACAGTTTAGACTTCGAAGGATCAAAGAAACTGGTTTTCAGCTTGAAAGAACCCAATTCTTGTTTGGTTAAGAACAATGCAATTAGAATATCCACTAAACCGAGGACCAGTCGTAACAGAGGTTGGGACTTTAAGATCAGCGGCTATTTCCCGGATAAGTGTTGTAGCATTGTTGACTCCGGAGGCAATGAGGTAGCCCAGGTACATCATTGATAAACATGGTTTGAATAAACTTCTTAATCAATTAAATTCGATTTATTTGAATTAATTCATGGATGTCAGTTAAAAAAAACAATTTAGCTTCTGAAAAAATTAATGTGCATAAATTAAATTTTAATCTATATGAGAAGTGCGATTCATTTAATTTCTTTATCTTTCTACTATAAGTGCTTAATTATGTCAATCAATTAAATTATATCTATTTGTTTCTTAAATGTGTTTGTTGATGGTCTATTAGGTTGTGATGAAGAAGGAAGTGGAGGTGTTGATGGAAAGCAAGGATTTGTACCATGTGGTGGTGAAACCGGGGATGGATCAAGCTTTGGTTTTTGGAGTCATTGCTATTCTTGACTACATTTATGGCGAATCTACCAACTGCTAAATCAGAAACTCATCAGAGAATGCTCTGAATTTTGTCATTTTTTGGGTTGTATGTAGGATTGATTACTTTCACCTATCACTCAGAGGTGCATACAAGAATTCTTATCAACTGATATGGAATCGAGACTGAATTTGAGTATGTGTTAAGTTATTGGTGAAGAATGACCGCTGTTAGTTGACAGTGTGGACTAAAGTACTTCTAAAGTGAATAAATTAAGCACGGATTTGACAAAGTTGGTTTGAAGTTAGAACATTTCTGAAGGCTCTATTCTACATGCGTGTAGTGTGTTGTTGTATTATTATTTCCGTGTCGAATGAAATATTCTATTTAATTTATGTTTTAATCAGAGGTTCATTGCGTAAATTAATAATATGTTCTATCTCACTCAAGAGTAACTAAATAAAGAGATTCTACGCATGAAGTTATAATCTTCATAAATAGGCCTTTTGCAAATAAAGAAAACTTGAGATCCGTTATTTTGTTTCCTTCTAAGTCCAGCCACAATCTGTTTCTTCATACGGTGTTTTCATCAGTTGTTGGAACAAAGATATAGTTTCTTAATTACAATTGGTTTTTTTTAATGAACTAATATCCTCTCACCAAGGTTTCAAAAATAAGAGAAACGAATAAATAAATATGCACATAAAAATTTTAGAACGTGTAATGAAATTTTTCTCGATTTCTTTTTAGTTTATGAAATACTGTATATTCTTCTTAATAATATAAACGACTCATAATTTTTTTTATTGTAATTATATGAATTTGAAAATGTTAAAATAATGTTACAAAAAAGTGAAAAATATCAGATAAAACTTTGCTAAATCTCAAAGACATGAACGGAATTTGCCTATAAACAAACATCACTGACGTAGCACTTTCTGTTAACTTGAAATCTCCACCGTGAAACAGATATCTTACATGTTGTCATAACTGAAAAATTGACGGAATGACCTGCAGGGTTCAAGGATGCTAAAAGCGTATAGCATAGAAGAATCCACAAACATTGTAAAGGTTAAAGCTAGTTTATTTTTTTACTTAAGCTTATTTTGAATAATACAATTTAAAAATTAATTTAATATATAAATATCTTTTTTATTAAACTATTTATAAGAAATAGCTTTTGGATATGCAATGCAAAAATGTATTTAAGATCAATCAGATTTGACTTGATTTTAATTTAAATATATTCTGAACTAATTTTTTATTAATTTTGTCAACCTATCTATTTTAAATAAAAGTAATAAAAATCAATTTAATTAATCAGACATACTTTAACAAAAAATTTAAAATATGATAGCTGATTTACCTAAAATATAAATCAATTACATTGTCAAAGATCTTTTCGACAGACTAAGGAAAGAAACAAACAAAAGCAAAGAAAAAAAAAACATTTTTAATGGAAAGCCATCTATTACTTGTAAAAATCAGGTTCCCATTCTCACCACATTTTTATAATATTTTTTGGATGGTTGGGGAAAGGGGCTTTGCTTCATGTTGGAGTTACTGATTTACAAGCATGAAGAATGGTTATATGTAGCTTCTAAAGTTCACATTTGTTGTTGTTTTATTATTTTTAAATATGCATACATATACAAACTAATGAAGCTAACTGCTTTTCAGTGACTGAATGCAGATCATTTATGTACAGAATCTTCTTGTAGATTCTGGCACCAATGAGATTGGTGGCTTGAGATGGGAAAATTTTTTTCCAGAAGGAGTTGGGTAAATCTAGGTATGACAAATGTCCGAATTTTAGCGTATGGTTTACAAAATACAAATCAAAATTTAGTTTAGTACTGTGTAATGTCTTCAGGATCTCCCAAATGAGTCTTGTTCATTGTTCTTATGAGGTTTTATTCCCAGTGGCTGCTTTATATTAGGTGATTTGAGTCCATCACATATTTTAGCAGAGTAAGAGGATTTGACAATGTATATTGAAGGTATGCATATTCATTTATTTAGCTTTCTTATGCTGCACCTTTCTTCGTGAGAGTATTTACACAAATGTAGTTGATCAACTTATTGAAGTCTAAAACAAGATAAAATTCACAGGAGAAAGAAAGTTTAGTTGGGCCCTTACCTCCCACATTTCAGTGGAAAACTTTCAAGAGGATATTTCAATCATCAAGTCTCAGGCATGTATCTTCTGATCACTGTATTCAAGTTAAATAATGTGGGTGTGTAACCTTCCAATATGTTATTAGACGTTTTTTTCACTTATATGAGTAATGTTAGTATTCTGTGTGTGGAGATGCTACTAGATATTCTGATGATCAAGGAGGAAGTATCCTAACAGAGGATCTGTATTGGAGTCAGAAGGAAATTTTGCACTACCAACAATTTGAGATTTCTTCAGATGCTCCTATTGTCAGGGAGGAATTGTTTTTGGTCCAGTTCTATTATGCTATGAATTTTCTGGAAGTTATTTGTGTGATTGTGGTATAGTGAATGTTTACATACCAACAAATGGAGCAGGAATTGGTGGTGCTTTGGGTGGAGAAAAGGAAACTGGTGGTGGTAATTGTGAATCAGGGAGTGACTACTGGAAGCAATACATGAAACACTGAATGGTCTGTGTTGCATCATTTGTACGTTAACGACATGACGATTGTTGTCCTTGATAGTACCATCAATCATGGAAGTGAACTACCATTGGCCCAGGGAATAAACTTTGGCTAGGAAGCAACCATCTTAGTACAGGAATATGCTCAACTGCAATTTTCAACAAGAGGAGAGTACTGTACCAAAATTAAGTCTGGTTGACACGTGGGCTCAAAATGTAGTAGTATTAACAAGAAATGCAGTCAGGATGGCCCCTCTACTTGCATTTCCAATGTACAAGATACATTAAACAATATCCAATAAATTGGTGCATAAACTTTATCTCCCATTCATAAAATTTGTATTAAAAAATCCCTATCAAATAGGTTAATTTCTTATTGAAGATGCTGGAAATGGTAGTTCAAACACACTAAATTAGATAGGTTGGGCAAAAAAGCTAATGTTTTGTTAACAAGTTAGAATTAGAGGGGAGGAGGAGGACAAGACAAGACTTTTAAATAATCTTTTCAGTTTAGGAGTTTTTAAGAAGAAAGGGTTTTGGAGATTTTCGTATGTTTTCCAAAATCTTTTGTAATTTTTTTAGTTCTACCCATCCCCCTCTCCTCTATGACCCCTTTGTATTTCCTTTTTTTTTTTTTTCTCTCTTTCTATATCAAACAAAGCCTAAAACAACCCTTTTCTGTACAAGTGAGCAGAGCTTAGATTTACTACGATCTACATTGAAAACTTTCCGTTCAATTGGACATAATATGCTTTTTAGACAAATTATGATTCTTTTGAAGTTTCTTTTCACTGGCTACCAGAAAAGGGTTATTGAAAAAAGAAAAAGGTGCATTGACGGGATGATCCAGCACTATTCTTGAGCTGAAAATTTGGCTTTGGTGCTGATTTAACAATGAAATCGAAGGTACTGAAAAGTCAAACTATTCATCATGCTGCTTAGATTCTGTATGTTATGTGAGAATCACAATACGTACGTAGCAGCTCTTGCTCCTTGTGTCTCGTGTCATGCACCTTGTCATATAGAATTAATATAACGAGAATTATTTTATGCTAAACAAGTTGATGGAGGGAGAAACTAGTGTGATATGGCATATATGCTGATGTTGCAACCTAAAGAAATAGCATGCTAAAAGCCTTAAACATCCATTATAAGGGGAAACCACAAAGTAAGCAATCTAAAGCAGTTATGAAGTTCTTTGGCTTGCACCTTGCAGTAATGATGACCCTTTATATGTTTATTGATTCTTGTGGTCAATGTAGGGACAAAGAAATCACGTAAAAGAAAATCCATGATGATTGGCACGTTTAATTCCTCTTTAGTAGCTAAGGTACTAGTAGAAAAATGGGGACAGAAATCGGCAATGCTCTATAAAAAGCTCAGCCTTATTGGATTAAATTGGCTATTTTTCATTGAGGGTGGACTTGCACGAGGAAAGAACGCAGATTGATTTTATGAGAGCACTGTGACAGGGGTTAGGTAAACTACCTTTTAAACAAAGTGCATAATGGAAATTATTTCGGTGACCCATGAAATGATGGGTTCCATTGAGTAAAACAGTAGTTTGATGATTGAGAAATGAAGCTAATTTATGAAGCAATAGCACTATAGGAGTGAGGAAAAGCATTTTTTTATCTTGTTTTTCTTGAAGGTTACTATTACATGTTCAAACTCTGTGCAAATATGTGGCAAAGAATGGAATTGAACCATGGGAAACTCATTTCAGTGCTTCTTTGCTTCTAACATTCTCTTAGCATCAAATTACTCAATAATAAGACACCACAACACGTGGCCTTGTAAGTTATTGACCCTTTTATTTTTTTAATGAAGTATATGTAGTAAAATAGTAGATGATTTTGATAATATACTCTAACAGAAACCCGTAAACACAAGTTTGAAAATCTAGATGTAGCAAAGCTGGTTGGATGCAACGTAGAGTGAATGAGCTCTTTTTATTTTTAATTTTTATGTTCGAGTGAATGAACTCAAGTCTTCAACAAAAACACGCAAACTAAAATAAAATGACATATAATATAATTAAATAATGATCTGATTTGTTGGGTGAGTAAATTGTCCCCACAATCTCTCTTTGTCGGTTTCGATGTATATTATGTACAATTTGCATAAAACTCCTGGAGTAGATGCATCCCGAAGGTTCAGATCAGGCATACCCATTTTCTCTTCTTAATTATGTCACTCCATATTCATGTTGACAAAACGTGAATTGAGAAGAGAACACTGTTACTAAAGGTTTTAAGTGAATAAAACTTTATAATAAAAGTTATAAATGGTAAAAGTTATATCCTAATGGTCCTGTATTGCAAGATGCAATTGAGGGATGAAAAAGCATACATGACAAGGCCTTAATTTAGGAGCATTAGAAAAAGTACAAAAAGTAAAAACAAGCTATTGCAGCTTCACTTCAGTCCAAGTTCAAAACTTTGGCTAAGCATACTAACTGAGCATGGAAATACTATACTTTTCCAACAAAAGCAATGCCCCTTTCACTTACAGGGAAATTTCTCTGCACCTTCGTCTTGTGTCTATATCTTGCAAGCAAATTGCAAAATGCAAATCCCTCGATTAATCATCTTTCCTTAATTCCTCTTTTCTTTTTTAAATCAAGAAAATCATCACTGTTAAATGGGCATGCTAAAAATTCACACAAACAGCTAAGCACACCTGGAATTATTAGTTTGGAAAAAGATTTGAGATTCTCATATTTTTTACACATACAGCTATAGCCAATGAACGCAAAATTGTTTCTTTTAAGGAGTGCTTGAGCCTTGAGCCAACCATCATAACCGCAAGTTTGCGCTGTCTTTTTGTTCTGATTCAAATTCAACTGTTAGAAGAGCTTTTAGCTTTATTTCCTTAACAACCCCAAACCAAAATGAATGTATATAAAATAATAAAAAAATATATATAACAGCGAATGGAAAAACTGAGCCAGAAAGAAGAAAAAAAAAATTAAAAATCTGCCAGAATATTCATCTTTCATCATCTTTCCAAGAAGATACTGAAACCAGAAATCAGAAGAACTAAATCTTAGAATTTGTTAATTAGTCTCTATATACATTGAAGATTATAGCCAAAAGAAAAAAAGAAAGAAAGAAGAGGAACTAGTAGTGAAGTGAGTCATCATAAAATTTCTAACACTGTGAGCACATGGAAAAATCCATCAATCAATCTGAAGAGAAAGGGTCAATGTTAGAGACCCTTTGCTATAGTTTTCTAACGCCTCTCACAGTCACAGAAAAACAGAGTTTCTTCTACTTTCTATGCTTCATGCTTTACCTGTAACTGCAAGAGTCTAAACCGAACTGAATTAACCAGAGATGGAGGAGAAGCAACTCTCGGATCGAAGCAAGGGTGTGGCACGAACCCCATCAACAACAGATGGCAAAGCTTCACTTGAGTTCGATCGGAGAGGCCTCGGAGAATCCAAGCTCCGGCGAAGAATCCGACCCATGGCGAAGATGGGGTGCTCTGTTTTACTCAGAACAGGGGATGATGATCTGAACTCTCTGCAGAAACTGATGTGACGGTTGAGCGCTTCTTCCGTGGAGATGAGCGTATCTGATCTCACCACCTCGTCCTTCACAGCCTCCACACACAACCCACAGAGCCACCGACCCTGGTATCTCTGACGCACCCTTGAGATGTATGCAGGGGTGCATTCCTCTGTGAACCCGCATGAATCGCATTTCACACACTCAACCTCCACCTGAGGAACGGTTTTCACAGTGGGACTCTGAGACTCTGACCCTGAAATTGCCATGGCTTGGAACTTGGTACTCGGAAGATGAATTGTATTGTATTGTATCTCTCAAGTGTTTGAGGGTAATAATAATATAGGGAGTCAACAGAGATTTATGTTGTCCTATGTTAATAAACTAATGTTAGAAAAATGTGTCACGTAATATAAATAAACATGGTTTCAGGGTCCTTCAAATGGATTAGACTTAGACATGAGTCGCTCATGAGCTTTTAACTTCTCATTTTTTGTGTTTATTGACACGTGTCATCTGAGTGCATGTGGCAGCATGGAAAATAACGTGATTGGTTGGTGATCAATGTCATTTTGTTTGATTTGGGCGTGTTTATCTGCGTTTTCGACCATACAAGTTTATCATGTTAATGCAATAAACGGCTATGTAGAAGAAGTAAATAATACAATCAAATGGGATCGTTGCTTGGTTGTGTGCCATCTCGCTTCTCGGTGCCTCCCACATATTTGGTAATTGTCGATGCTCATCTAAAACTATAGTGTTAATTAGGTATATTTCACTTTTTTGTACGTGGAATGAGTTTTGGTGTCTATGATACGAAGCGTTTTGACTATAATTCTGATTGAAATTCATTTCAATTTGTCGTCAATTGCAATCGAGCATCATTTTTAAGTTACTTGTACGTATATATTATGTATACTCTCGAAAGAAAGAAAAGGAAATTCCTTGATCGTATTCTTTGTTATTTGCTAACTTGTAGGCATTGATTATCAATTATTTTGACATGTGAAAAGCAGCTTCTGCTCTTAATGTGTTTTATGTCTCTTTAAGACTGATGTAGTTGTGCAATCAAGCATTATACACATACCTACATATTGTAAGTAGGCTTAAGTCTTGACGTGTCATACAAAAAATTAGGGTGATTGAATGTTCAAACTGCACTTGATAAGTTGTAGTAGTTATTTTTCAACTGTACCCACTATTCTATTCCGGTATATCCGCATGCTTTTATGAGTGTCATATTTGTTCAATTAATATAAGCAAGCCATCAAATGATTAGAGAGACACATTTTAAATTACGTGTGTTTTGGCTAAAACCAGGGATTTCCCATGTGTTGAACAGTTGATTAGTAGATTACGTGATAGGAAAAACATGGACCGGTTCATGAATAAGGAACGTAGCTTACATAAACTTTCCTTGAGGCAGAAACTCCATTATGTGGCAAAGGACCCACCCAACTATGTGAGAATGGACTCCAACCTAAATGATTGCTAAAACTCTCCAAAATAATGTTATGTGACAGCATGCTCAAGGATGATTCTGGAAGTTTTATTTGCTCCCACATTTCAACTCTTCTGCTTCTCACCCATTAATCCAATTCTAACGGAGATGCCATTGCCACCTCGACTTTTATCTTTATCTTACCAAAAAGCAAAAACAACCACTTTTAGGGGAAGCGTTCATGCATGTAACAACGTCTCCATGTTCGCAAGGAAGCGCTACGACAAGATAAGGCGTTCTCATTGTGTGTGGTTCTGAGAAGTTGACATAAAACTCTCACACAGACAGAAGTGAACCATATCTTTAGTACATGATTCATTAGACATTTGTAACAAATAACACAGTAGCCATGTCTATAGGACACCACCTGTTACAAAAGCTTAATGCTCTAAGTTTAACGTGAAGTGTACCACGAGATTGAAGATCATAATTCTAAAGTGCATAGTTTAATCAGTGTTTGCTCACGATCATATTACACTGGCTCTGCCAAATAATTTATGAGTAGAGTTGGTTCATGTTTTGACAGTTTTGTTAACTTCTTTTCCATCAAGTTTCTACCGAAGGGCAGGTTTACCTAGTTTAGTTCATCTTAAATGAGAGAATACGTTAAAAATGACTTAAACAAGTTGGTAGATGTGGGCTTTGAAGCACGGGACAGAGATGGCTCCTATGTGGCTATCTCATCCATTGTAAGAAAATGACAATAATATGTATTGCAATCATAAAAATTCAGCCATGTGCAAGTTTTACCAGTTCTTCTAGAGCGACAAAAGACACAAGTGGGTATCGTGATATGGAGGTGCGGCTGCTTCTTCACTGGATCTGAAGACCTGGGACTTGCATCCACTAACAAGAGTAAAGGCTGTATTCTATAAGGGAAGGAATCTTTTCCTATTGGGACCAGTGACTACAAGTGATGCATCATAGAGTGGTGCTTTTGTAGATGCATGCATAAATATTACTTTCAAGACTTTGTTTTCTTGTATACCGCGTTGGAGACAAAATATTGAAGTAGTTTGTCTGAAATGATTCATGAGCAACCTTTCTTCATTAGTCTCTTTCAACATGGTATTTTAGGAAGAGTCAAAATCTGGACTCGGTGATTGCCTTGCCAATAGACAAAAAATTGAAGGGCAAGCGACCTCTGGTCCATGACGTTGGCCCCATGACTGCAACACTCATCATATCCAAAAAGCCAAAGGACTTTGGCAATCAGTTTAAAGGACAAATAAGGTGTTATTTTCTTAGTAAAGTATAGTGTATATATTGTTAAGGTTTTACTTGAATTCTCTTGTTTCATATGTATCCACTAGCTGTTAATCTTTCAAATGGTTGTGCCGGGTTTAGGGATGATGTGATAGAAGCATTCAATGGATGTTTAACTCTGTTTTTAGCACCAAATGTGGTCTCCACTACTTGCATTTTGATATGCTTGAGGCAAGACCTCATGGGCACGTGCTCAAGTACCTCCCATTTCAATTGTGATATCCACTACCCTTGAAGATGCATGCTTTCCTACCAACGGTGTTGCACTCTCTAAGGATGAAGATTATCTTGTGGTCTATGAAGTTTGGAAGTAACCACATTTCTTGATGAGATTCTCCTGTCCTCTCTTAACCAACCAAGACTCTTGCTGCCTGCCACAGCCTCCTTAAAAGCAGTGCTATTTTGAGTGCTATTCCATATTAGTACACATCCCATCAAACTTTCTGATTTTCTTGCTCCTGATGGGTCTTTCTGGGTCAGGTAACGTTAACATAGATTGTTATTTGTTAGCACATTTAATATTCAAGGATTATAGCTCAGCAAGCATGATATTGAATTGTGTTTCTTCAAACACCTGGTAGCTTCATTTCCAAGGTTAATTAAGCTGGTCAACACGATTAACAAAAAGGCAATGGTGATGATGGTGAATGTGGCTACTCATTGTGAAGATAATGAGAAGTCCTTACTTTGAAGTTTGAGAACCAACGTTACCTGGTAAGTCTCAATTTCAACTTACTGGAAAAATTAACCATTGCAGTGTGCATAAAACTAACAAGAACGAGATTCAAGGCAGAAATTACAACTAGTATCATTAAAATAAATACAAATTCAAAAGTATTTCAAATTCAAAGACACTAAAACAGATTCAGCTTTCACAATAAGAATATTTAATCACTTGCCATATGAAACTTCAGCTCCGAATTAAATTTAAACTAGAATTTTATTATAATTTTATTACTTTGACGGAATAAACATATTTTTTCAATAAAATTTATAAATTTTGGATGTTTAATATCAGATTGAAGGTAACGAGATTCAAATTTCAATTATTAATTGGTCCCTTTTATTTTATCCTAGTCAGTTCCGGAACTAGATCTCTGTCGTGGACTAAACAAGAACGAAGAAGTAAAAAGATTGTGGAGTACCTAGACTGACAACCTTAATATATTCAATTGGCACCATCACCTCAAACATGAATACTTTCTCATTGTAATTGTAACAAGAAAAGCAGTGATATTCCCCCTATCATACCTGCAAATTCCGTCTCTACCCTCAATTTGGTGTTAATCCTATTACCGTTCTGCATAAGTAAGAATGCTCATAACAAAATTAATAATAATAACAATTAAGTCTATTCCTATTACATGAGATCGACTACGTGAATAATATAATATCTATTGTTTTATAGCTAGTTCCAATTTTGAATATATTTTTAAAAAATGTTGTGTTAAACCTCGACACTTAACATAAAATTTGTCAAAATTTATACATGAACAAAAAACTTGACACAATAAGTAAATATTCAATTTAAAATTTCTAAAGTTTTTCACATTAAATTATATTATCATACTTACGCATGCTTCCTAATATTAATACAAAGTATGTTTGATCAGTTCATATTTTATTTAATTAATTATAATTTTATCTAATTAAAAAAGGTGTTCGATGAACTAACTTGTTTTATTAGCTTGTAACATTTTTCAAAATTTTACTTAAAATAATAATAATTTATTTTTTTACTTTCAATTTTTAGTAAAACTCTGTATTTATCCCTTCTTTTATTACTGCATTCTTTATTTTAATTAATTTTTTCCTTTAATATAATATTAATTATTTCAGTTTTTTAAAAAATTGTTTGATCTTTAAACAAAAATCAAAATTTTGAAAAAAATATTACAAGTTCAAAATTTTATACAAAACAAAATTATAATTATCTAAAAATACATTTTTACCCTAAATTTAAAAACATAAAAAAATCGACACATGTTTTTAATATCATTTTACATTTAATGATTAATTTTATCAATTACTTAGAATTGAATAGCTTTCAAACTAATAATTTTTAGTTGAAAAATAGTCTTTTAGCTTTCAATTAGTTTTTAATTAATTTGTTAATTATTTTAATCAGTCATAAGATAGGCTCTGCCGTGATTAAAAAAACTATATTGAATAGAGAATATTATTCTCTTTGATGAGATGATAAAAAAATATATACAAAGGGTGTATTCTTATGAAGATAAATTCATGATGTATAGAGGTAATAAAGATAACTTTGTTAATTATATCAATGTCTTTTGTAAATATGGAGCAAATAACTAAGGGGTATAAAAAAACAAAAAACAACTTAATTTGATCCTTTGCAGATTTACATGCAGCCAATATTATGCAAAAATCTCAACAATTAATTTGGTTATCACACTATAACTAAAAATGAAGCAAATATAATGTATGGATGATATTGTGGCTACAGAAAAAAAATTTCCGTTAGAGGTCTCAGGAAAGCAACACATGATTCAAAGTAATGGTGCAAAACAAAATTCAAATTCTTTTAAGTTAATTGAATGTATATTTCTAATATTTTAAAATATTTTATTTTATTTTATGATGCACACATACTTTATATTTTTAAATTTTTACAAATATTTATTTTCCCTTTACTTTATTCTTTAAATATTTGCTTAAATTTAAAAATACGAGCTAGTATAATATATCAAATACTTGTTACTTAAGATTCAATCTTATATCAATTTATGTAATCACGCATCACATGTTTAAATTTATTAGCATGGTCTCAGAAGGATAATTGTGTGTCTAAGTTAACTTATTTTGAAAAAAAAAAATCTATATATATATATATATATATATATATAAATATAATTAAAAATTAATCATTTTTTATTTTTAAAAATACCACCGAATACATCAATCACCTTGTATGATATTATTTCAATTTAAATATCAATGACTGAGTTTAAAAATACACGTAGATTAGATAAATTTGTTAAGAACTGTACTTTATTTGTACTCAAATAAATTAATCAATGAGAAGTCATTGTCAAGAAAAGAACTTACTATCAAATGAAAACAAATGTTAATCAATACCATTAAAATACTTTACATTGGTTAAACAATTAAAAATATTCTTTATAAAAAATATTATTAATATCTCTCTCAAAATTTTAAATGTTTTAGTTAATACTTTAAGGACACTGATTAATAAAATGTGAAAAAAAAAAACTTACAAATATTATATTTGCTCCAATTATTAACGATAAGTTATAAACTAGTTTCTGACCTCCAACTTGAGCACATTTTAGAGGCTTTTTTGCCCTTTTAGGGTTAATTTAAAAAAATTTTACGTAAATAAGGTTTCATGGAAACAAATTCCCAGTCTGGGGTTGCGAGCCACGTGGCAAGAGAATCGTCTCTCTTCTGGACGACACAGGTGCTGACATGTCGAAATATGAGAGTGTCGTCTCCAAATGGGACGACACTCACCAGATCGCGCCACGTGTCATGCGAGGAACTAGTGTAGTCTTATTTGAGACGATTTTAGTAGTGTTCACTGCAGACCCGATTTTACTGCGACCAATGGATAAAAATTTTGATACATTCTTTTATCCAAGTTAGAATCTGTATAAATATGACGATGGAGCTCGGGAAAAAAATTGCATTGGCTTGGGAGAGATAGGAAGTGTGTAGCAGGGATAGAAATCAGAATCATAGCTCAATCAGGTTAGTTTTTAAGCATTACAAATATATAATTTATTTTTAATGGTTATTATGAATTTTTACTTTGCATAATAATATTTAAAATATTTATTTAATGGCTATTAAGTGTTAAAGTTGTAATTTAATTTTTGTGTTATTTAAAAAATAAATATGTAAATATTTGTAATTAAAAATGAACTTATAAATATAATTTATTATATTATAAATTAATTTTGAAATGAGCTTGGCTTATTTTTAATGCAGGATGAATGAAATTGTTGTTATATTATATTCAAATGGTAGAATATACGAAGGAAATGAGGGTATAATTTTTGAAGGGGAGAAAAAGATGATTAAGATAGAACGTGGGATCACATTTGAGATGTTTAAAAGGAAGATCCAGACAAAACTGAAACTATCTAGTTGTCACGTAATTTCGAGATTAATTGCACGAATTTTAGTTGGAACAAATGGTCGATATCATACAGCTCTAGATATATGTGACGATGAAGATATAGATTGCATGATAAGTGCTTGTCAACAACAACATCATAGGAATGTAGTTGAGATATATGTGGATGTTGCGGTGGTGAAACATCTTCTGTTATGGCACGTCCGTTAGAAGTGAATTTATCACTCTCACATATTCATGGAAGTGATGATGATGATTATGCCACAAGAGAAGGTAATATGAATTTATTTAATTTAAATTTTTAAAATTGATGCTGCAATATTAATTAATAATATAAGTTTACAATGTACAATTTATATATATTTTTCTTTCCTCTTAATTTATCTATTTAATACAATCAAAATTTTTCTTGTTATTTAATAATTAAACACATATTATGGATTACTATAATTTATATTTAATACATTTTTAAACAACTAATTATAAAACAATAACAATTATATTATACAATTTTTCTTAGCACTATCTAAAATTTTAGCTAACAAAATACAGAAATTAGTTTTTAAAATTTTTTTAAAAAAAAAATAATTGTGCACCTGTGTTAGACTGAACACAATATATATTTTCTTCTTCAGCAACTCTACTGACCGCCACCGACCGTCACTCACTCACCCAGAAAATGCCCTGCACCATAATCTCAACGTAAAATACAACCAATCTCATATTTAAAAACTAAACTATATTTGATTTATTATTTCCTTTACCTTCTACTAATTTTTGCTTCCAATTTCTGAAAGCTTAGACCCAAAAACGTAGGCAATGCTATGATTTTTTTCCCAGGACCCTTTCTTCTGCAACTGAAACGAAACGCTAACGAAGAAGAAGGAGGAGGAGGAAGGAGCCGCGCCCAAACGGTCAAACTGCACCGCCACGTGGACCAATGACGATTGTGTCGTCTTTGACGCAGGCGACACTAAAGTCGCCTCTGGAGCAGCCGACACTGAAGATGGCTCTGTACCAGCCGATACTGAAGACGGCTCTGGAGTAGCCGACACTGAAGACGCCTATCCACCAGGCGACACTTCTGCGATTTACACACGTGTCTCCTTTTCTTCCCCATCCGTTGATTGTTTTTGAATCATTTTAACTTTTTTTTTTCATTTAATTAGTGTCGTCCAGAAGAGGGACGACTCTCTTGCCACGTAGATTTACCAGCCCCAGACCGGAAATTTGTTCTCATGAAACCATATTTAGATAATTTTTTTTTAAATTAACCCTAAAAGGGCAAAAAAGCCCATTTTAGAAGTCATCTAAGAATGTCACACATTATAATAACAATGCAGTTTTTGTGAATTGTGAATATATGCTAAAACAAAGTCCATACACATAAAGAAAACATTACCAAATTTAAGAACACAAATACAAATAAACTAGTACTACTAACAGATTAGATATTTAGTGAAGGACACGGAAGAAAACCATGTAAAAAGCACAATTGAATGCTAGAAAACGATTATTAAGAAATGTTGTGATACCCAAATCGATATTTGGACCACACTAACATAATAATAATTAGACCAAATCCGAGACTGAAAGAACAAAGAGTCCAAAGAATGGAATGAGTCATAAAATAATAATATTTTAATAAACAAATAAATCACGATTTATCGTTCGTGCCTGACCGGGATCCCCGCTATTCTCTATACTCCGTACGATTGATTTATTCAGATATTCGCATTTTCATCTCTTCACTCGAAATTCTCGTTCTCATATCTTCTCGGCATTGTTCATCAATTGGCATCTCATTTCTTCGTGGTTCAGCAAAGTTGCAATTTGAGAGAGATTCCTCATGTTCATCCGAAACAGGTAAAATTCTCATTTGCATGTCAATGAACCTGCCAGATCCGTCGCTAGTTTGTTTTCGTTTGTGATAGATGCTAGCTAGCTCTTGAACTTTGATTTAGAAATTTTTTATTAGGGTTCACGTGCATGTGTCGTAGTTGCTTGTGTTGTCGAACTCGGCATAAAACATTTTCCCCCTTTCTAGTGGTTTGATAAATCTCTACGTTTTTGACAAATGTGGAGTGATAGCAGGATATAGATCGCGGTGACGTATTTGGCTTTCACAATTGAGAGGGTCAATGCGGCATAATTGAAGAGGGAGAGAGCCATTTTTGCCTTTTGTGTGTTTATTTAAATTAGTTTCTTGTTGTATATGCCAGGGCTGAAGCAAAATCAATTGCACTGGGAGGATGTGTGTTGTTAACAGTTGTCAGGTTGTGAGGATGTGCTTTTATTGTTTGGTCTCTGCGTGTGGATCTGTTGGGTGAAAGTGAAGTTTTTGTTCTTTCTTGTTGAACATTGATTTTCTCATTTTTGTTTCCGTTGATTGAAGTCCACTGAGTGCTTGAGATTCAACTCATTTTGAAAAGTGATAGCTTGTCCCTCTTTTCTTCCCTTCTTTTTAATTTTGTATTTTAATGTTTATGCAGGATGAAGGCAGGTTTTAATGGAATAAAGGGTAAAGAAATTTCCCTTATTTCCATTGTTCTCATGTCTGCAACTATTATTTTATGGTCATGGGAAAAAACACCCGGTCTTACTGCCTTTCTTCCTCCTCAAACACCACTGCAGCTGTCTTCAGGTTTACTTCCATTTGAATAGTTGTTTTCGTTGAAAAATATTGATATGATATCTTGTCAATAACAAACAAACAACAGAATTTTATCTTACTAGATGAGATTGACTATAAAAATCACAAAACATCACTGAACTTGATTAAAAAATTTTGGTGTGAGATCTTGTCTGGCATGAATTTTGTACCCAAGATTTCAAAGTTCATACTGAATAATGCCCTTGCGTTGTTCTCAGCACTGTTTTATATATTTGCAGATAATTTAGTTAGTAATCCTTCAGTCCACATGCAAGCACCAGATCCACACTTGAGTGAAGATGGTTCATCATTGCTAAAGAAACAGACTACTAATGAGCCAGAAGAATTACATCTCAAGGGAGAATCTCAATCAGTTCCTGCACACAGCTCTTCTGGAAAGAGCAAAGGTGAAAGTAATACAAGAACAACTTCATATACAGAACGTAATATATTGCTTTCTTAAATCACTTATAGTTTTAAAGAGTTTACTTTGCCTCATGACATGGTACCATGCCCTCTGTCAAATGAGCATGTGTGAACTTTATATACGGTGACTTATTTATTTATCTTGTTGTAATGGTCAGAATATCATACCTCTGTCTAACATTGTGCTAAGCCAGTTTGATGGGGTTAAGTTAAAAATATTGTTAGATGTAGGCAACTTCCAAAATACATCTTCTGTTAGATGTTACCATCCTGTTAGCAATAAAAGCCTTACTACATGATCTCATGTTTCCTCTCTGTTAGTCTCATGTTATCTTCTTGGAGCTTAAATCTTGTTTTTCATTGTGAAGGTGTAGAAAGTCTTTCAAGTCCGTCAGATGATGAAGCAAAACACAAAAGAATCTTGGAAGGTGGGAAAAACCATGACATACAAACATTTTCCAGTCCAACGACATCTGAGGCTAAAAAAAATAAAGTTGAGCGGGAAAAAACTTTAAAACAAGAACATAAACCTTGGGAAGACTTTGTCATGAACTCTCCACAGAGAAACTCTTCAATTGGTGGAAAAGACAACAATGGGAATAGTGTTGTGGAAAGTAAAGGTACTGGTTTTTTGGCTAACCATCTATAAAACTCTACTGACAAGTTTTTCATTTGGATAAGTTGAAGGACAGTCAATACATGCTTTTTAACCCTGTTTTATAGAAATGGGCTTCCTTTTAAAGAATATCTGCAACTTATTTTTTAATAGTGAGTTTCTTAGTGAAGGCTATCTCCTAATTGTAACAAGAAACCTATTTTAATTATTTCTGAAGAAATCTTGAAACATTTTATAATTATCCTAAAGTTAGAATGCTTACCAGTTTGTTTCCTCATTTGTGAGGGTTGGCCTATTATCCTGGTAGCACTCAGTCACTACTTTGAGCAGGTGGAGTTATTAGTTAACAACATAAAATAGATTTCCGAAAACAAATTGTGGGAAATAAAAGTTCTCATATTAGACAACCTGGCTAAAACTTTTTAAATTATTGCACCTCTTTGCATTATTCATTCATAAAAAGTCAATAACATGTATTTGTAGGTAATGGTAGCTAATGGATGTTTTCTTTTTTACTTTTTCTCCAGTCTGTAACTATGCAAAAGGAAAATGGGTCCCAGACAACAACCGGCCTTTATATTCAGGATTTGGTTGCAAACAGTGGCTCTCAGGGATGTGGGCTTGCCGCTTGATGCAGCGTACTGATTTTGAATATGAAAACCTTCGATGGCAACCCAAGGATTGTCAGATGGAAGAATTTGAAGGTTCTAAATTCTTGAGAAGGTATTTCATTCTCCTGATTAATGTATGTGTGTATGTATTATGAACTTTTGTGTTGTTGTTTGAGTGTACGTTTTGACAATTTGTTACAAATATTGTGATTTCAATTCCTTTTCTGTATAGACTTATTCAAAATCTGATTGAGTTTGAGGCATATGATACTCTCCACAATTGACTTGATAGAGGGGGTGGGTCAGATTTGGTTGAGGCATGTGTTAGCAATTTCTGTTCACATATCACATGCTGATGCTTTTTGAGATGCATTTTTACTTTGGTGATTTCTTCTGATTTAGAGAACAAATTGTCTCCAACTTTCCCATCTACGTTTTCATTTTTTTTATTGGCCTAAGTTTTGGGGTTAAACAGCAAAAAAGTCAATATATGTGTGATTATGATAAGTTGATAGCAATCTTGGTGCATTCAGTATGCAAAACAAAACTATAGCAGGGTGGGTCAGTTGACTTGAAAGAGGGTGGATCAGCTTTGGTTGAGGTATGTGTTAGCATGTTAGTCATGTTTGTTAATTTAGTCTATTTCTGTTCTGATCACTTTACTGATGCTTTTGGAGATGCCTTTTTACTTTTATGGATTTCTTCTAATTTAGAGAACAAATTGTCCCCAGATTTCCCATCTACATTTTTTTTTATTGGCCTAATTTTTGGGGTTCAACAGGAAAGAAAGTCAATATATGTGCGATTATGATAAGTTGATAATGATCTTGGTGCATTCAGGATGCAAAACGCAACTATAGCAGGGTGGGTCGATTGACTTGAAAGAGGGTGGGTCAGCTTTGGTTGAGGCATGTGTTAGCATGTTAGTCATGTATTTTATTTTAGTCTATTTCTGTTCTGATCACATGATTGATGCTTGTTGAGATGCTGTTGGAATTGCCCCCAACTTTCCCATCTACATTTTTTTATTGGCGTAAGTTCTTGGGTTCACCAGAAAAAAAGTCAACAAATGTGTGATTATGATAATTTGATAATAAATCTTGGTGCATTCAGGATGCAAAACAAAACTCTAGCTTTTGTTGGGGACTCATTGGGCCGGCAGCAGTTTCAGTCTTTAATGTGCATGATCACTGGTGGTGTGGAGAATCTTGATGTGGAAGATGTGGGGAAGGAATATGGATTGGTTATAGCTGAGGGCTCTGCCCGTCCTAGTGGGTGGGCATACCGATTCTCAAGCACTAATACTACCATTCTGTACTACTGGTCGGCAAGCCTCTGTGATGTTGAACCTATTGATGTACACAACCCAGACACGGACTATGCAATGCACTTAGATCGCCCACCAGCATTTTTGCGCCAATATCTCCACAAATTTAATGTTGTGGTTCTCAACACAGGTCACCACTGGAATCGTGGAAAGCTCAATGCTAATCGATGGGTAATGCATGTTGGTGGTGTGCCAAATACTGATAGGAAGATAGCAGTGATTTGGGGTGCCAAGAATCTTACGATTCATAGTGTTGTTAGTTGGGTGAATTCACAGCTTCCAAAATATCCTGGTCTGAAGGTATTCTTTCGTACCATCTCTCCTAGACATTTTGTTGGTGGGGACTGGAACACTGGAGGCAGTTGCGACAACACTAAACCAATGTCAGTAGGAAAGGAAATATTGGAAGAGGAGTCCAGTGATCCAGTTGCTGCAAATGCGGTAAAGGGAACAAGGGTTAAGCTCTTGGACATAACAGCCCTTTCTCAGCTCAGGGATGAGGGTCATATATCACGGTTCAGCATTACAGCAAAGCCTGGTGTGCAGGATTGCTTACACTGGTGTTTGCCTGGTGTTCCTGATACATGGAATGAAATACTCTTTGCTCAGATCTAGTTTGCCCATTATGGTGCTCGGAGAGTATTTGGTTGGCCTTGAAAAGGTTAGAGCCATTCCTTTGGCTTGGAAACTGTCACTCAGATTCAAAACCATAGTTTTTCAGAGGATGCAGTCTTGGGGGTTGCAATATGTCCTAGGCGAGCTTGAACTTCAGAGCTGATCTGGTAAGATATTTGAAGTCTTCTGGTGCAGCGACTCGTAAAGTCGCATTTGCCTTTAACAAATTTTGTAGTCTTTTGTGGTATAACTTATTTGACATGTAAATTAATTATTCCTTTATATGGCCGGCCCATTGCGAGTCCTCAGCTGTGAAGAGGGTTGGTAGACAGAGTTTAAGAATAGGAGCATCTGCAGAGAGTTCATAATCAATTGCTGCAGATGTTGAAGTCAGTTCAGTAGAACAGGAAAATACCGGTGCTTTCTTCTGCTAAACAAAATTGGGCAGGGTTGAACAGAATAGGGTGTTCTTAGTCTTTGAATTTACTTTATACATCGTGTATTTTTAAACTTATATAGCATATACCGAATTACCGATACATTTCATGCCGAGTGTAATATAATATATATTCAATAGTTTATTCGGGATAATATTACTATTGGGGTCTGTGCGTGCAATGGTTATGTCGACTACTCTTTTATGTGCTCGTGGATCTACTGACACGTTCGACGATAAGTTGCGACCGAATTTAATAGCGTGATGTTAATTTGTCTGTTAATAATGCATATTTATTTATCTTCCTACTGATGTTTATAGGAGGAGTTTGTCTGTTATTACGGTGGCATTTGGAAGAGCATAGTTTATTAGAGTAATTTATAATTCTAATGACGTTTTTTCGGTTTATTTCAACACGGTGTATATGTATATTCAGCTTATGTTTTAAAAAATTACGTGAAGTTTATAGCATAAAATCTTTTGTAATAAGAGTTTATTAGATAAGAATTTAATTAAGTTGTTATCAAAATATACAATATAATTTATTTGAATAAGTTTTATTTTATTTCGAGATGTTATGGAAAAATTTGTAAGATAAAAGTCTTCAATCTTCATGTAAAAAAGAAAATTATTGAATAAATGTTTAATAAAGTTTATTTTTGAAATACACTTTGCCTTTGTTTCTTTTTATCTTTTCGGATAAACAAGATAAAATTTGTTCTTATTTATTTATGTAGAAGTTTTAAGGCTAATATTTGTCATACTTTGAGCAAATTTGTACTTAGTAAATATAAAATAGATTTTATATTCGTAATAGTAAAAATTTATTGAAAATATTTATTTCAGCTTTATATTTTAAAGTTAATAAATATTTTTAAAAATATTTTCATATCCTTAAAATTAATAAAATTGTTTTTTATCATATTTTTTTTCTTTGTTCCAATGAGGTTGAATTTAATAAAAGAAAACCAAAACTAGGGATTGAAATCTAAATGTCTCGAAGTTGATGAATGATCATACTAGAGTCACCGTCCCATGCAGTGTACCGTGTCTCATTAACGTCATTCCAACGGTCGAGTCTGGGGATGACCACAGCGCGGGGAGATTTATTAATGGAGCTTTTGATCAAATTTCTTATTACTTGTTAATTTTTTAACATTTTTTTATTATTTTAAGCAATATCGAAATATATTTTATAAAAAAATAAGAATTATTGTGATGAATAAAGTAAAGCAGCATAACTTGCCCATCACACGCAGACAGCGACGCGGAATGCGTCGTATTAAATGCAACAGTGCATGCCATTAATTCAGAATCCATTATTGTCAACTCTATATAACATGAAATTATATACAAATGTTAAATCAATTAAAAATAGTTAATCAATAATAATCCCTCGTAAATCTTTCTACCCAGGCCAGAAAGATATCCGAATCAGCTTCCACTTGCCGACACGGAAGATACACACGTGTCAAGTGATAAAGGGTCACACGCAGCTCGTAACGGAAACCAGACTCGAGAGGGCCCCACACTGCACCCTCTCTTCTTCCCTTTATTACATTCTGCTTCTTCCCCACTCATCTTTCCTTCTTCACATTCCCATCTTTTTCTTCTCTCTCTAATGGCTGAAGATTTCTCCAAAGCCGTTGACGACGGCCTCAAGCTCTCCAAGCGATTATACTTCGGCAAGGATAGGGCGGTGGCGCCGCCGAAGCCGCCCCCGTCTATGGCCAGGTCAACCACCGCGTTCCTTCCTTCGGCGCCGATGGTTTACGCGGTGATCTACGATCCAGGGATCGTGGACAACCCTGACATCCCGAGCTACCAGCCACACGTGTACGGAAGGTGCGACCCTCCGGCGCTGATTCCGCTTCAGATGAACGCGATTGAGATGGAAGCTGATTGTTATTTAGACACTGCGTTCGTCACAGTCTCCGGCTCTTGGAGACTCCATTGCGTTATGGGTTGCCGCTTCTGCGATTGCCGTATTGCTATTCCCATGGGTCACCAGGTACCTTTTCTTTTTCTTCTTCTTTTCTATTTAATTTATTTTACTATGTAAATTCTATTTTAATAATAAAACATCGAGGTTCTTTTTTATTGGTGTGTTTTGGAAGTGATGATGAAACTTGTTGTGTTTGAGTAGTATTTTTATGTGCTGTAGATTTTTGCGTTCTGATATCATTTGGCTAACAGGGTTCAATTCTAGGTGTTGAAGTTAGTGTTTCTAGAAAATCGTATTCTACTCAACTGGTAGTTATGGAAGATGACAAGGGCAACGAAAACGCCACCCCAGCTCATGACGGAGGCTTTCTCAAGCCTAATATATTTACTTTGACTATACCTCAGGTGTAAAGAAAGTTGAAGATTTATGGATCTGTGTCGTTTGTTTAGTTGTCTTCTTGTGATGCTGAAATTCGTTTTGACTGTGATTGTCACAGATTGATGGGGGTTCCAATTTATCAATTAAAGTTTGTTGGTCTCAGAAAATAGTGTACTCCAATGGTCAGTTCTCTTTGAATGTGCCGTTTACCTTTCCTGATTTTGTCAACCCTGCTGCGAAGAAAATACCAAAGAGAGAAAAGATAAAGATAAATGTGGGTGCTGTTGCTGGAAGTGAGATTCTGTGTAAGACTGTTAGCCACCCAATGAAGGTTTGTATTTGCTTGGTTCGTTTTTTTTGTGGGATCACTGAATTTTACGTTATGATAATATAACCAATTGACCATTTTTTTTTTCTTGACGGGTTCAGGAAGTGAGGCGTCATGCTGGGAGCATGGGCTTCTCATATGATTCTGAAGTTCTCTCTTGGTCAAAAGTTGATTTTAGCTTTTCGTATGCTGTAAGACTCGTGACAATTTGGTTTTCTATTTTTATTCCTAGTTTGAGAAGTCAGAAGGTTATCTTATCGGCTCGCTATATATGTTTAGATTTCCTCAAGTCATATAAATGGTGGTGTTCTTTTGGAATCTGCACCTGTGCATGATTTTGATCAAAGAGAGATGTTCTGCATGTACCTTTCTCCTGGAGATATTCAGAGTGAAAAGGTTTGTAATATCTGTTAAATTTGTAGGTGTACATGCCATGTTTAATGTATATTTTTCTTTATATTGTCTTTTCATTCTCACTTCTGGTACTACTTAATTTGCAGGTATTCAAAAAGGACATAATATTCATTATTGATATCAGTGGAAGCATGCGGGGAAAGCTAATTGATGACACAAAGAATGCACTATTGGCCGCTCTCTCTAAGCTTAATTCTGATGATTCATTTACAATAATAGCTTTTAATGGAGAGAGCTATATATTTTCAAAATCAATGGAATTGGCTTCCGGGGATGCTGTTGAAAGGGCCACGGAGTGGATTACCAATAATTTTGTTGCCGGTGGTGGTACAAATATTTCACATCCATTAACCACGGTATATATATATATATATATAATACAACACTATTTTTTCATAAAGATTATTGAGCAGTGGTTAATACTGAACCAAAGTGTAATATAATGATCATAAAATGAATCTATGCTCAACCTGACACATGGAGAATCCATTCCACCTCTAATTCTGTTTCATCATTATGTTTTCTGTGACTTGCTTTTGATGTATTGTTATCACTGTAATTGTTTTCTGCCCAGCATTGGGTAGAATGCATTTTTTATAATTTTTGCTTTTCTTTTCAGGCAATAGAGATGCTATCCAATGCGCAAAGTTCAGTTCCAATAATTTTCCTAGTTACAGATGGAACTGTTGAAGATGAGAGACAAATTTGTGCTATGGTAAAGAATCATATGATCAATCAAGAGTCAATATGTCCCCGAATTTACACTTTTGGCATAGGTATGGCTCCTAGTATTTGAGCCTTGATCAGAACTTGCCACTTGAGCCATTAATTTTAAATTGTGTCATTCCTTTTTTTTAATAAAACCTTTTTAAGACATTGCTCTTGGTTGTTCTAATACATCGTGAATGATGTTTATAATTCTTCATTTTATCACATACTCATGTTAAATGTAACACCTCATTCAACAACCCCAGGTCCATTCTGCAATCATTATTTCTTGCGGATGCTTGCTATGATTGGTAGGGGCCAATATGATGCTGCATTGGATGTAGGTAAGTTCTGAATTTAACTTTTTAAAAATAAATAGCATTGCCATTATTTTTCTTTATTTTTGTTACAGATTAAATGATTTTGCTGGGTCTTAAAGAATATCAAACCATATCAATAAATATGTACCTAATAAGCAATTAGATTACATGAGGTTGGTTCCATAGTTGTGTAATGTTGCTGATTAGCGATTGCAAGTCTGTTGGGTTATTAGTTATTATTTTGCCACCTTATATAGCAACTTACTTTTGGTATGTAAAACAAATGATCCTATCTGAATTTTGTGCTTTCTGTAACAACTCTACATAATTGAATATTGCATTCAAATAATTCGAGTGGTATCTCGTTATTAAGGGTTTGAGGTAATTTGTGAACAAGTTCTTTAACTTGATAGAATTGACCCTTCTAACTACTAATAGGTCCCAGAAGTTTTTTATTATTTCCAAATAGCGTCCTTAAACTATTTCCTATTTGCATGACTAATCCCTGTTTACTGGATTTCATAATTACGTTTTAACCTCAAGGTTTTAAGAATTCATGTGCCCTTGGCTGGAATACTAGGGGATTATTTCCAAATAGTGTCCTTAAACTATTTCATATTTGCATGACTAATCTTTGCTTACTGGCTTTCATAAATAAATTTAAGGGTTCAAATAACCTTGGTTGGCATATAATGGGATTGTTGAGATTAAACAAACTAGGTTCAATTGGTTGGCTAGAGAAGGATATTACACTTTCTGCATTTACAAGTAATTTGATAGCTTCCCTTCTTTTTGAATTGCCAGATTTGATTGAGCCTCGAATGCTGACATTGTTTGACAAAGCTTCATCTCTCATTTTTGTTAATATCAAAATGGACATGGATGATCTTGATGAGCTTGAGGTAAAATTTTACTAGTACTTGGATAAACTGAATTGAAAAAATAACTTTTTGGCTACATGTCTCATTCTTTCCTTTCCCATGGTCATTACAAAACACATGCCATTTACCATTAAATAACTGTCTTTGATTTGAAGATTTTGATTCTTTTCCTTCAGTTAATCTGCCATAGCCCTGTCTCTCAAACTGCATGACTGTATTGTTTTAATTCATCACTTATTTTCTGTTATAATAGAACCTGAATGTCCTAGCAATTCTGACAATTTATTTTCTGTTACACATACACTATTATATGTTCAAATTTGTCCAACTTTCCTAGAACTTGTGGCTATTTCTTATGGAATCATCTGCAATATTTGTGATAGGTATACCCTTCTCATATTCCAGATCTTTCATCAGAGGCTCCATTGATTTTGTCTGGAAGATACAAGGGAAACTTTCCTGAAACTCTTAAAGTCAAAGGTATATTGGCTGATTTCAGTAATTGTGTAATAGATATGAAGATACAGAAGGCCAAGGACATACCTGTACAAAGGGTAAAGTACTCCACTATTTAGCATACTACTTACAAGTCAAGATTTTTTGTTTCCGAAATTATATCTACAATTTCTGAGAGGAGATTCTCAGTTTTGTTCATGGGTGCTAAAGAGCTATTTGGTGTTCATGTGAATCCTCTTTGTTTAAACTTTGAAAAATATGTCTTTTCATAAAGCAAGTTTTGCCATAATTATAAGATCCATTGAATTGGGTACATAAAGAATCATGGTTTATTGGTCTTCTTTATTTGGTATGCCCATGATTCATAAGTACATATTTGTTTCATCTTATTCTTGCAGCCATGTCCTCGCATCTTTTGATTAGATGTTCACATTAATTATTATTATTCATTATGTTGCTCCATTTTCTCTTTTAACAGGTTTCTGCAAAAGATCAAATAGAGCATCTAACTGCTCAAGCATGGCTTTCAGAAAATAAACAACTAGAACAGAAGGTTTGTTAATAATCTCCGTGCTATCATTCCACTCAAAGTATACATGGGTTTTTCAGTTGTTTCAGTTTGTTAATATATTTCTTATGGCTGATCATTTAATTGACAGGTTGCGAAGATGAGCCTGCAGACTGGCTTTATCTCTGAGTATACACGGATGATAATACTTGAGGATGATCACCTAAAGAAAGTCAAGGAATCAGCCGGAACAAAAGAAGTATGTATCAGAAATTGAGGCTTTTGTCGAATAAATTATGTTTTCATTATTAAATTCTGTAAAACAACTACAAATTCCATGGATATTTAGATATATGGTGATAGATATAAGAACTTTTATATATCTAAGAAGAGCTACGCTGTCTGTTTTATTAATTGAATGCTCACACAACACTGCATGTTTCTATTGCAGTTTGCTTATATTGTTATCAAACATGGATTAAACCTCACGTAAAAGCTGTTCATTCATTGCAAACAGGTGTCAAAAAAGAGCCATTCTCAGTATGAGGCAAACGTCCAAGGCCAGAGAATGACTTTACTCCCTCACTTAGGCATTGGCTTTGGCAACTTGACAGCAACTGCTGAAAATACTCCACCGGGAGCTGAAACGAAATTGCCTGAAGTGCCTGAAATCTTTAAGGCGGCCACAAATTGTTGTGAGACCTTGTGTAGTTACTGCTGTTGCATGTGTTGCATCCAATGTTGTACGCGGATAAACAACCAATGTGCAACTGCATTGACACAACTTTGCATTGGTCTAGGATGCTTTGGCTGTCTAACATGTTGTTCAGAAATATGCTGTTCTGGAAACGAAGGCTGAAATCCCAATTTGTTGTATGATTGTTGTATTTTACTGCACATAGGAATTACTGTTTTTATATGTAGTTTTATTTTTTTGGAAATGTATACGAGTAAGGCATCTATTGTGTTACGGGGTGCTTTCTTTGCTTGTGTTCTGCTGTATAGCTTTCTATGATACATACAATGTTTAAAGTTGCAATAGAAAGTAAACCCCCTTGTACCAACAAAGAAGAAACTGAATGATACATACAAAGTTTTATCTGCCATCAAAGAAGCATTTTCCTCGTGGAATATTTAATTACCTCAGTGCGCTTTCTCTGCTTATTACGAGAATATTGTCCAAATGAATGTTGGCTCTCTTATATTTTAACACGCCACACGACTTTGTAACAATGCTGTTAGTCTGAAACATATTTTTGTATAGTCTAAAAATTGAAGTATTAAGTTTAATTTTTTTATACAAGTTATATTTGTGATTATAATATTTTCTTTTTAATTTTATTATAACGACATGAAAAGGTGAATTATGGAAGTGAAACAATATAATGATGTTTTGATTTTATATAACTATATTTTGTAGCCAAAAGATGTACTATGCTTATAATATCAATTTTTAAAAGTTTTTAATATAATATTAATTAAATTGACATTACATAATTTATTGTGTAATCTAATAAATCAAGTGTTATAATTTATTTAGAAAAAAATAATTTTCTTATTTAGTCTCGTAAACATTCTCCTAACATCAATTACTTTAAAAATATGTAATATCAAAAAACTTGTTTGAGATTAAAAAGATTTGTGTTGTATATAAAATTCTATACTGTCTTTTTCTTGGCGTGTCCCTCACCCTCCCACTACTGATGTTGGCCTATATGGTTTTTAAGTGGTACAAGAGACAATTTACATTAATGGCCACAGTCGAGAATGATAGGACATGTTTTCTTGAGTGAAGTCAATCATGGTTAAAGAGATCAAGCATGTTCTTGAGAATGTCGCACCCTCCAAGTGATAGGATGATCCGGTAAATTGGTTTTAAGCTAAATGAGGAAGTGATCAATTGCCAAAAGGGGCTGAAATCTCAACTCTCAAGTCTAACTATTTTTCTGTAGAAGATGAAAACTAAAAAATTAGACGATTCAATTAAAAGTATTTGATAAAATTAGTTGTTAGATTAATTAATAAATGTAAAATAATAAATTAAAATATCATAATTAAGTAAATTAAAATTTAGTAATTATATATTTTAAAAAACTATAAATTTATTAAAATAAATGAAAATAATAAATTTAATTTCACTTCTATTTATAAATATTTATTTATAAAAAAATAAAATTTAATGAATTTTTTAAAGTCCTTCCCAAGATATTAACAATTTATTATTTTTTAAAATAATAATTATTGTAAAATTTATTTATTTTATTAATTGTGACATATTTTCTTCCTTTTAATATAAAAAAAGTATAATTTAAGAAAATCAATGGATAAAAAAAGTAAAATTATTAATATAAATATTTTAAAAAAATTAATAATTATTCATTTCAACTATATTACCAAACAATATTATTTTTATTAAACAAAATTTTTAACCAATAAATTAACTAACCTAAAATGTCTTATCTCACATATTCTTAGTGTACAACTCACATTCTTTCTTATTAAACATTTTTAGGTTTTCTTTTTATTATATATAATATCTAATACATATTTATTGGTTCAAATAATGGAATCTAACAGTAAATAATCATGTTATAGAGATTTTGTAACGTGAAAAGACTATACACATTTCTTTTTATGAAAATGACAATATTTTTAAAGTTGAATTTAAATGAAATAATAAAATTTTATTAAAAATATTAATTATATTTTTATAATTTTAATATAATTAATGTGTTATTTTTAATTAAATATTATTATTTTTACTTGCTTAAATTTAACTTTAAAAATTTTAATTTAAAAAACTCTCATAAAAAAGGTGATAGATATTTTAAATGATGTTATGAGATATTTTTATTCCTAGCACTTGCAGTTTTGTACACTAGTTCTTTCTTTAGTTAAATCTCTGTAGCAAGTCAGTTTTTTTCCTTTTGTACAATCTATTTTTGCAAAGTCCTTTTTGATGAGTAATATCAATGTCTGTTGATGTGTCCATATACTTTGTTAATTGAGCATAAGCAAATTGTCTGTACTGTTGTAAGAGTGATGTGCTGTTTTATCTTTCTTAATTGTTTCACTAATTTTAAAAAAAATTAGGGTATATTTAATTTCTCTTTTCAAAACTGTTTTCAGTTTTTAAAAATAACTTACAATACAAATTTGTATTAAAATTTATTTTTAAAAACTGATAACAATTTCCAAAAGAGAAAACAAACATATTCTTTAGTCCTTGATCTTCTGATTTCTTCATCTTTTGGTCTTTCAATATTACTGTCTGCTGAGATTGTACTCTTAGCGAATCAAATATATGATATATTTTAACAATTTTATTTTTTTTGGGGGGAAGGTTTTCTACATTGAGATTTAACAGAACAATGAAACATGAAGAAGAAAAAAACTGGAAGTAATTATCAATAGAAAAAATATCTTGACTATTAAAATAATTACTCTGCTTATTGAAATAATCATTTTTTTAATATATTTGAGAGTATCATGATCCAATAGTGACCCTCAAATCACTGTATTACTCAGACATGGACATCCAACATTGTAGAATATCATGTTAATCTGGAAAAGATAGGCACCTTTTTAAGTCATCCTCATAATATGTCATAGCAATAGTAGTAAGGTCTTTCTCAGCTATTCCCCAAAGCAACTTTACATGGGTGAGGCTTAGGCCAAAATTTGTTATGTTTGTTTATCTAAGATTTTACACACTTTTTTGTCAATTTGATTTATTTTATCATAAACTTTTATTCAATAACTTCACAGCTTAAAAGGTTACAAGCATTAAACAAAAGAAAATAATTTATATCAAATTAATCACTAAATATAAAATTTGGCTAAAATACTAACTCTTTTTTTCTCATCTAATTTAATTTGAATCCGACCTGGATCACGCATCTAAATGTGATAGATAAGTTTATCATTGAAGATTTTTTGTATACACAAAAATTCAAACCTAAAACTTTATTTAAATGATATCGAGTCACTTGCCATTCAAACTAATTTCTGTTGGTAAATATTAAATCCTATACTCTAAAACTCTAAATATAAATAAAGACTTTTTTATTTAGATTTTAAAGTGAGTAAGAAACTAATAAATAAAAAATATTAGAATTATATTAGAAATACATCAAAATATATTATTATGTTTTTTAATAAAATAAATATTTCTGATTTTTAATTAATATACTTAAGATATTGATTAATTAATCATATTTAATAAAATAAGACTTAATTATTATAGTTGTACGCTTAAAATATTAGTTAATATTTACTTAAAAGTAAAATAAGAACCATTAATGTGTTTGATTTGTCAATGAGTTGAAAAGAACTCAGCAATTAACAAATTATTACTTTTTTTATTTGGATATTCGGGAGTTGTTCAGGATGAGCAATCAAACTTGTTATGATATATTCACATCAGTAGTGTAACCTTCAACAACAATGCACACAGGACAATGTGCATGCATGTTTCAGGTGCTTCAACTTGATCAAGTAGTGTTTTGTTTCTTTAAACACAGCTGGTTTCACCTTATCCACATATTTACTATCTTCATGTCGTCTTCTATTGTTTTGGATGCCACTCAAGTTTAATTCCCATGCGCACAAAACTGTGTAGCCTGTGAAACTTTGAACTATCAGATGCCTCTTCACTCTCAAGATAGAAATTAATCTCCAAGTCAATCATTGCATAAAAGCAGGCATGTGGAAAATTCCAAAAGGTAAATGTCCTACACGGCAAAGGGTCTTTCTTGTGTTAAAACTGTTTTTCATATAAATTATTTTTATATTCAAAATATTTTTCGAACCACAACGAGAGACTATTCTATTTATAAAATTCATTATACTTACATATCATTTTTTAATAAGATTATCATATGCAAAGATAGCAATAGATGCATACATTAAAAAAATTATGTATTTAATTGAGGTAAAAAAATTAAAATTCAATTTATTTAATTGAAAACTTTGTAGCTAGCATTATCTAGGACGTGGATAGTTTTCTTAGGCATAGTTATAGATTAAGTTGATTTGTTTAACTCGACCAAAATAGATAGATTACTCCAAACTATCAAATTAAATAGATTTTTCAAACGATAGATTGAATAGACTTATTTGAGTGAGGTAAAGTTAGGTTTGTTAGCTTTAAACCTGTTGAACTACCTGCCCCGATATAGTAAAATAATAAAAACTTATTTTCAGTAACATCATACAAACACACTGAGTTCGTAATTAACCCTAGTTTAGAATGTAGACACTTCAAAAACATTGTCATTCATTAACAATTTAATGTTTCCTTGGCAACTGTTATTATATGTTTTTCTAACAAAAATTAAAACATTGAGAGTTTATATTAACAATATAATACATTATACATGTTTATGTTAGATGACAGACATAATTTGACTTCACTTTTTTAGAAAATGTTAATTTCAATGGTTGGATCCTTGCAATTTAAAAGGATCGGAATTGCAGAATATTTTAATCTCATTATGTATTAGACTATTTTTAACAGTGTTTTTATTGAGATGCTTATACTTCTTTATCAATCCATATAAATTGAGTTCAACAAAATAATTAATTATATTTTTTATTTTTTAATTCTTTGCAATAAAACAAGCGTTTTCTTATTCTTACATATATTCTCGTTATATCTTTTGATAGGAACTGGTTTTTAGGATCCTGCGAGTATGTATTACCTTCTTTTAAAAGCAAATTACGTAACATGTATAGTTATTTTTTAAAATTTAAATTTTCTAAAATGAAAATGAAAAAAATTGTTAAATAAAAGTAGATAACTGAAAGAACATAAATAATATAAGAATGTCAAAACTTTATTGATTTGATAGATATACTATTTATTACTCAGGAGAGGCTCGGTGGGTAAGGGACATCCCACGAAAACTTTGGGCTGAAGTGCTGTTTATATTTATAAATCATTTTTCATTCATGTTGATTTATTTATCATTTTAAACAAGCTTAAATTCTTGAACAAAAATAATCAATCTCAATTTTAATTACATTAAAATTTTGTGACAAATATATTAGGCCTATTTCATTTGATTTAAAAATATTTTTAATTTTTTATAAATAATTATATAAATGTTGTATTATTTTATTTTATATTTTAAAATGTTTAT